CTACAAATAAATCACCCAGGAGCAATGCAGAGTTGTTTGTGTTCACCTTTTCTTCCTATTCATTTTACATTCCCCACATGCACTTATTCATCCCAACTCTGTGGCTAATGCTTGTAATCCTCCTCGTCAAACAGGGACGGCAGTTACTCCATTAGCAGGGTTTCTCATGTTGATGTCAGCCAGGCCATTGGTTTGCAAGGGAATCTTGTTAGGGTTCTTATTGACATTGTGTTTCATTAACTTGATTAATGACATCTATTGGGGCATGCTCCACAGTAATCAACATCTCTGCAGAGAGTAGCTGTCTGCAGTCAAGGATGGGACTCTCTGGGCTTCCTCTGCCCACACTTGACTGGCCCCTCCATGTCTTGTTTGTTTCAGGCTGCACTCCAAAAGAATCGTATATTCATAAATACCAAAGTAGTAAGCAGTAAGAGACCATAAGTAGACCCCAGATGACCATTATAAACTTTCCATTTCAGAAACTCTGTGTGTTCCAGAAAATAGGCCCTTTGAAATTAAGGAAATAAAGCATCTTGTGTCCATATCAACCAGAAATACATCACTTAAGATGTTCCTACTAAATTATTTGGTGGTATACCGTAAGTGCTTATTCTGAGGCTCGTTACCTCACAGTCCTGCTGTTTGCTTTGATTTCTTCACTATTTAAATATTATTGCAAGATGCACATTGCTAGGTAAAAGACTTCAATTAGTCTGCTACTAACAAAAACATCCAAAAGAGGTATTGGTCTAATATTACTTATACAATCCTACACACTATACTCTGATTTAAATGTAATAAATTGTAAATATGTTTCTGGGTTAACATTTGAAGCAGAGCAGACACTTTTCACATATTTCACACATTTCCTCAATAGATTTTTACAAAGTGATTTCTTTCTCCATCTCTGTGTATCTCACATCTGTTCTTATATCTCTCCCATTAGAAGGGATCACATCCTGGGTCAGTACATGGGAGATGAGAAACTGCTCACCTCAAATACCCCAAGAAGGGAAACACTGAAGGCCACCGAATCCCAGATCTAGGCACTGTATGCCATGAAGAGAGATACAAAAGCAGAGATCAAAAAATCCCACCTGGAATTCATATTTACCTTTCATCATCTGCTTTTTACCCACAATGTGGTTATATTTGAGTTATATTTGCTAGCTCTGTTATGGGGGAAAGCTCTGCTGATGCAACTTCAAACAGGTGGCTCTAGGCTGCCAAGTTTGTTGCTGTGGGAATTTGCCTTTTCGGCTTATTTTCTTGGTACATTTAGCTCGAAACTATGCTATCTGGTAAAGTTAGCGCGCAAGTGCAATATAATATTTCAACATAAAATCTTTCCACTGTTAAGGGATTTGCTGGCTTAATACTGTAAGAGTACACTATGGAGAGCATCCAGTTCAATTAAGAGATTAAACTGAATGTTAATCATTTGGCAGGAAAATATCTAATAAGTAATATCTGTTGGTCCTTCAGAGCCAGTTCCTTTGATTTGATTTGATTTGATACATGTTGATTAGAGTGATGTATATATCCACTCAGAGCTGAAACAAAACCTGGAATGAAGGTTATAATGATGACTTTGAAAATGACTGATTCATTTTCTCATGTATATAAAAATAAATGGACAAGCTTAATGTTATTGAACAGCAATGCATACTGTTACTGGGGGAGAAAAAACAAGCATAAAATCAAATGCAGATGAATAAACATACATGAGACAACACATGAAAATCAGTGGTTACAAAGAACAACAATATAATAACAAATAGTGTGGAAGGTACCACAGATTAGGGCTACAGCTAATAATTATCGTCATCTAACCTGTCAGCTATTTTCTTGATTAATCAATTTAAAAATCATAAGATAATAGTGACATAAGTCCCTGAGTCCCAGGTAATGCCATCCAACCAACACCAAAACCTGGCAAAGAAAGAAAATCAGCTAATTCTTAAAATAAACTAGGGCATGTTTGGTGTTTTTACTTTTACATATATTGACTGATTATTCCACTAATTAATTACTTGGCTAATACTTTCTATTGGATATGAATAAATACATTTTGTTTCATTTGGAACTAACCTAATAAAAGAGACACTCAGCTAATTAACAAGGAGGTTATTGTGTTGTTTCTTAATTGTGTGAGGGAAAGTAAAGTTATAGATATTTTAAAGTACAGTAAGTATAAAAAGAGTTTACAGGTTGTAATGGACTCAATCTATCTTTGCAGATTCAACCATAGTATATTCTGCAAAACAGGGATATTTCCTGACTAAACTCTAAATTAAAACTGCTAAATTCATTTAAATAAATGTATTGCTTGGAATGTGTTCAAATTTTACTTCTTCATTAATGTTGGTTTCCATAAGCTTTACATCTATAAGTGATATGCATATAATTTTGTTCCTTTTCTCAGACAGTAAATGTGTTCCATTATTTGGAAACTGAACAAAAAGTTATTTAAAGCTACATCAAATTCCTCATGGATTTAACCCTAATAGTTCTCTGTTGTGGACCTCTACTGTAAGTACTCCTTGAATCTAAATCATGAACAGTACAGTATCCACCTCACTGTAGGTTATTGGCAGTGTTTTCATTGTTTTCATATTCCCCATGTGTGACACTATCAAATAATTGTACCAGAGCTTGGGTAATATATTCTACAGATCAAATAAAATCAATCTACAGTAGATTCTTGGAAACAATCTAAAGGACATGTATTACGTGATTTCTCAGCCTTGATAAAATCCCCAACATGTTTTACCCAGCATCACTTATTTTCCATCCTTCAGCTGTGCCTGACTTGTGCCCAGCGGATGAAGTGTTTGGAGAGTGACAGACATAATTGATGAGCAACCACAGCCAAGATAGTCTCATTCTGTCAAAGCACAGTGCAAGCCAGAGACATGACTGGGGCACCTTTAAGTCTCATCCTTTTAATTACACTTATACTTAGCCATCCAAAACCCTCAAACTCCTTGGGAACTCCTTCAGTAGAGTAATTTGTTGGAAAGGGGTGAATACAAAGGGAAGATGATCCAAAGACTCGTACATTAGGCCAAATTAAAAATCTTGATGTGTGGTTTTTGATGTGTAAATTTCCATGGGAGAAATCCTGTTTCTCAAATGTTTAGCTCTCTAGCACAAAATGCTGATTGAACCTGTACATTTAGCTCCCAAGTTCATTTTTAAATAGACAAATAGACTGTGCTCTGTCAGATCTTGGGGATAGTTTTAAGTTACTGGAATCAATGACTTTGAAATAAAATCAATTCTAGTAGAGACTTGGTTTAATCATGAAGCCTAATATATGATTTGAAAATAAAGTCAGTGTGTTTTAAAAAATTACATTATTACTTACTTTTATGCAAAAAGAAAGAAAACTAGAAATTAAACTCTAGCATACATTTTATCATCAAGCAAGCAGCAAACAACTGTCTACTTACACATTCAGCAGACACTGAGCAACATGAGAATTGATCTACACCAACTCCTCAGACAACATCTGCTAGATGCTCAACTTTGTTAAGCAAACACTAGTTTAATTCAGCTCTGTCATGTTTCTGGGCAGGTAGAGTCCTTTGTTTACTGTTGTTTGGAAATGGCTACCTGCAGTCTCATATTGGTCGACCAACTGATGAGCACCATGGCGCACTCAGACATACAGTGTGGCCAGAGAACCAAAACAATCTGATTTCAGTGTGAGAGAACATGAATGCTTCCATTTCACCCAGAACAACTATACAACCTCGTATAACCTTGTAACTGCTCATGCTTCACTGATACCTCAAGGACTCTACAGTGCGAGCATTGTGCAAATGTGAAAAGTTAGTTGCGTTCAGGTGCAAGTGACTCTGAGTTCTGAAAACCGGGACTGTATATACGTTTGTAGATAGATTTACTCTCCAATCTCCGTCTTATTAGCACAGAGCAATATACAAAAAATTCAGATACGTAGCAGTTTCTCATTTTTAGCTGGCTTTGACCATCGCTTTCACTGGTTAAATCATCCGTTGTTGCTAACTTTAATTCCCTAAGTAAGTTGATGACTTAGGGGCAAAAGTAATTCTGACCTGGAGTGTGTATTTGAACTTCAAGTCTTCAATTAAATTTTTTCCATTGAGGGTGGTGAGCACTGTCAAGTTATGTTTATGGTTTTCGACAACTTTGTTTTAAAGGACCAGTGTGTAGGATTTAGCGCCATCTAGCAGTGATATCATAGATTAAAACCAACTGAAACCCCTTGACTCAACCAAGTATGAAGGAGAAACACAAAAGGCCCTATCTAGAGCCAGTGTTTGGTTTGTCTCTTCTGGGCTACTGTAGAAAAATACAAACTG